AGGCTATCACCAGGTGCTATGTAACACATCGAGTCGCCAGTACACTGCATTACAAACGCAAATGAAAACGTACCAGTGGTGCGTTGCACCAATAAGATCGGCCGGGATGCCGGGTTTGTGGTCACGCCTGACGCGTGTATTGTTTGACATATCTGACTTCGCGGTTTTGTACCGTGATGATATCGGCGTCTATTTCATTGACAAACGAAGAACACACAAAACATCTGTGCGAGATGCTTGAAGTGCTTCTTCAAATAAGACACTGTCTCACCAAAGAAAATGCTAATTTGGCAAGAACAGCGTCCGGTTTTTAACCCTCACCGTTGCCAACAAAAGCCCCAGCTTCGACAAGCGGAAGACAGTGGTGATTAAAAAGAACCCTTCCAACCGTGCGACAGAGGACTCTACGGTTTTCCGGATCTCTAATTACTACCGACGCCTTAGATGTATTTCCCATAATCTTCTCGAGCAAATTTTTTAAAAAGGACATAATCTTGAAGAAATTTTGGCAACCAAAAAACTCTCGATAGCAAGAATTCGTGCTTCGGCTGAAGGATTTTGCGAGCAAGTTCAATAAAAAGCGTGTCTACAGCAAACAGCCTAAGTGGCTCGTGAAGTGGCACGGGACTTCCGGAGCATATTGCACCCGTGGGGGTACGGCTTTAAGCCGACCAACGTAAAACGTGGGATGCGTTCGCATCTTACGTGGCAACTCGATCGTGTATGCATTTCCTAGGCGGTGCAATACACGAAATGGGCCGATGTACTTGGGTAGTAGTTTACTGCTACCCAAGTTAGTCACTACATGCTTTGGTAGATTAACCGTAGACAGTAGGACTAAGTCACCTTTATGAAATAAAAGAGTGTTTGCACTTCCATTCTTGTCAGCGTTTTGCTTTTGCTTGTCCACCGCTTCGGCGATGGAGTCTTGCACAAAACGGACTACCGTTTCACGAGCCAGTATGAACTCATCTGATGACTCGTTAGCTTCAGTGTGCTGTGAGCGCACTGCAGCAACATCAACCTTTTCTCCAGTGAGGGCTTCCGCACTCTCACTGGCATCATCTTCTTCGATATCGATGTTATCGATATCGGCATCAAACGCAATGACCTCTTCGTCAGAGCGTGATGAGCGTGAACCAAATCGGTTTTTGCTCGCGCGAGTCCCTCCCCCCCTTAAACCAGAGTTACACTCTAGTAAGGTGGGTACACGCGGATGGCGCAAGCCATTCACGTAAAACGGTTTATGTGTCGTGGACGCATGCACCGAGTTGTTGATGGCAAACTCTACCATTGGCAAAAACTCACTCCAACTCTTAAAGGAGTGTACGTATCCTCGAAGGATCTCTTCAAGGACACGATTGGCACGTTCCGTCTGACCATCTGACTCTGGATGATCAGATGTAGACATCTTCAAGCGCGTTCCGAGTGATTTGAACACGGAACGCCAGAAATCAGCAGTGAATCGTGGATCTCTTTCTGATACGAGTTCACGGGGCAACCCATGAAGTCGGAAGATGGTGTCGATAAAGACACAAGCACAGCCACTTGCCGTGATTGTCTCTGGTACAGCCACTAGGTGTACCATTTTGCTGAATCTGTCAACAAATACGAGAATACCCGTATTCCCGCGTGCGTCTTTGGGTAACCCGAAGACAAAATCCATTGAGATGGATTCCCAGCACTCAGCCGGAACCGGTAGAGGCTGTAAAGGTGCACGCAGTGGAGGGCTTGACTTCACTCGTTGACAGAATTCGCATGCGCGAACATACTGTCGCACAAACTGGTACTGGCGGGGCCAGTAAAAGTCTCGACTCACCGTGAGACATGTTTTCTCCGGCCACGATGTCCTCCTATAGGAGCATCGTGATACTCGAACATGATCCGCAAACGCAGGTCAGTATCATCTGGAATGACAACACGTGGTGTGTCACCAGAAACGGCTGTATAATACAGTAACCCGTTACGAGTAGTGTATCGATCACGATGTCCTCCTATAGGAGCATCGTGATACTCAAACATGATCCGCAAACGCAGATCAGTATCATCTGGAATGACAACACGTGGTGTGTCACCAGAAACGTCTGTATAATACAGTAACCCGTTGCGAGTAGTGTATCAATCTGATGCAGGTCGATACGCAGACGACAATCGTTTCAACGATTCTCGGGATGGTTGGGAGAGATGTGTCAACAACTTCACAATCTCACCACATTGGGCGTATGCCCGCCTCACATTATCATACAACGTTGTAGATGGGACTGAGGACGTCATAACCGCAACAGTGACTGTCTCACTGTTGGGTTTCGCGACTGTTTCAAAGTCGGGACGACGTGAGAGTGCATCAGCGACGACATTAAGTCGTCCTGGTTTGTACTCGACCGTAAAGTTGTATTCCGCAAAGAATGACAACCACCGCGCCATTCGTTGTGAAAGGTGCGGGCTGTTCACTGCCGTGCGTAATGACGCATGGTCAGTGTAAACAATGAAGGGTCTATCTCCTAATAGATAGACTCTGAACTTCGCGATTGCATACTTCATGGCAAAAAGTTCCTTTTCATGCACTGGATGGTTCCGCTCAGCTAATTGCAGCTGACGCGACTGATAGCAGACGACGCGTTCAACGCCTTCAAGATCGTACTGCATTAATGCACAGCCGATTGCGAAATCGCTGGCATCACAGACCACATGAAATGGCCTGTCCTGATCGGCTATTGCTAGGACTGGGGATTGTATCAAGCTCTGCTTGATACCCTCAAAGTATCGCTGACATTCATCGTTCCATAACCACCTCTCGTTCTTTTTCAACAAACGAGAGAGGTGCACAGTCATCTCGGCGTAATTGCGTGAATACTTATGCAAATACGCCGCTAGCCCAAGGAATTTTCGAAGACCTTTGACATCAACCGGCACAGGCCAGTCGGTGATCGCCTTGATCTTTTCGGGATCAGGACGTACACCGTTCTTACCAACGATGCACCCAAGAAGTGGTATTTCGCTTGCGGCAAATATACACTTCTTGAGGTTTGCATACAATTGATGCTTTCGCATGATTGTAAGAACCTGTCGGACGTGGTACCTGTGAACCTCAACGTCCGACTTTCCATCCATAGCTCGACTATGGATGAATACATCATCGAAATAACTCGGCGCGAATTCTTGTACTGGTCTGAACAGATGTGATACACATCTGTTGAACGTGGCAGGGGCATTACTGAGCCCTTGTGGCATTACTAGCCATTCCCAGAGCATGCCGCTAGGCGTGCTAACTGCGGTATAGGGTATATCCCGTTCCCGCATAAGGATTTGATAGAAGCCATCCATCAAATCCGTGGACAAAAAGATGGTACTCTTTGACATGCCATCAATGATTACGTCCTTCCTTGGTATCGGCGTCTGAGCCGGTACCGTTGCAGTATTCAATTTGTTGAACGCGTGCACTATCCGCCACCCTCTTGTTGCTTTTCGCACACAGAAGTTTGGAGAGCTATGTGGGGAAGTTGATTCCCTCACATGGCCCGCAGCTAAACGATCGGCAAAGAGCTTGTCGATCGCAAGTACTTGTTCACGAGGCAGTGGCCACTGCTTCATGACACAGTACTTCGAGCCTGGTTTAAGCTCGACCTCGTGTCGAATACCTTTATCCTTCGGTAATTCGCACGGAACAGTTTCAGGGAATACATCCTTGAATTCAACCAAATCTTCATAGAGATGATTTTTCTTGAGCGATTCCCATGATTGGGAGTCATATCGCTCAATTCGTGTCTTTTCATCTAGGACACTCTCGTCCATAGATGAACTACTGTGAACTCTCTCGTTCTCAGTGAACACTGTTGCTGACCTTATGTCGGTTACACACTCGTCGTCAGCGACGAGTATGCAGATCTGCTTGACTTTGCCACTACGCAGATCACGCCAGAACCTTTTATGTTCGAGCGTTGGCAACTGAGTGATCTCCGAAGTTAACTTCGGAGGCGCAATCAGATCAAGTGTATAAGCGCCTACACTTGATCCGTTATTGACTATGACATTCAATTTCTCTATCATTTCCTGGGGACTTATTCCCTCAGGCTTCGAAGGACTTATTCATTTGGCTTCCCGGGGACTTATTCCCGCGGGTTTCGGGGAACTTGTTTCCGCCGTATTTGTAATCTTGGGACTTATTCCCTTAACTTCCTCTAGCTGGGGTTGCGCAACCACAGCGAGATCCTCGACGAAAGACTCTCCAGTCGATCTAGGATTATCGTTTCGCTTAACCTGAGCGATCGACTGTTTCTCTTCTGGATGTTCCCCGCTAGGGATACATCTTTGTCCCAGTCCAACCGACTTATTCGAGTGGTGGACCTCCGGCGCAGCCTGTGTTTCCTCACAGCCGCCGGAACTTTGCTCCGAAGTGTAACGGTTTGGTACACTAAGGTTTTGTGCAGTCGTACTAACGACCGTACCACAAGTGAGGCCATCGCACTCACTCGTAGTACATCCATACGCTTGTGGACGCTCCAAAACGTTCACCAGATGGCCATCTGATGAACAAGCGGCAGGCATCGTTACTGTCCGATGTTGCCAGTTTACCCGTGGTTCGTACCTTCTGAGCCACGGTATTCCAAGGATGACATCAAATTTGTCATCCAAATCCAATACGATAAAGTCATCGTCATATTGGGTATCTTCTAGCGCAAAGTGGATCTTCACTATACGCTTCATGACGGTTACGGATGCGCCTGTCGCAAGACGTACCGTCATCCTCGTAGGAGGTGTGTCACATTCACTGAATTTAAAGTGACCATCTTCTAGCGATTGGCGTCGCACAAAATTGTTGGACGCCCCACAATCGACTAGAGCTCGAAGGGACAACTTATTCGTCACTTCGAGTTTCAAGGTAATGAGTGAGATCTCATTACCTAGAGCAGCAACGCACAACGTTTGTGTGTTGGGAGCAACCTTCATCAAGAGGCCTACAAATTCTCTTGACGTTGCTGGACCAGTAGGGTGCTCCGCACCTACTGATCATGTCCGTTTTTTGACGGTCCATCCCGTTGTTGCGTCTTTGCACCAACAGCGGACCCGCGTCCCTGCCCCTTTCTCATGGGTGGACGGTCACTACACCCAGTATCGCGAGACACTGGACGAGGGGCACTACACTCGTAAGCGTAGTGTCCTGTCTTTTGACATCTGTTGCATTTCTGCAACTTCTTGTAGCCTGTAGAGCGAGCCTTCTCGCTCTCTACATAACAGAGTTCCATCGGCTCTGGACCTCCGCTGTCATATCGTCTCGGTTGACGATATGATGTCGAGCTGGCGCGAGCCTGTCTCAGACTGAAGTCTTCCTGCTCCGCAATGGAAATGGCTTGTTCTAGTGAATCTAGTTCAAGCCGGAACAGGTGAGTCTTGACGGGACCATCCGCAAGACCCTGCATGAACACCGAAACCAACGTGTGTTCATCCACCGGATTGGAACTTATACAACTCACGAGATGTCGTATGTGTTGCGCGTAAGCGTGCACATCAAGCTTACCCTGCTTGAGCTTCAAGAGTTCGGTTCGAGCTCTGAACTTAGCTCTAGGCGGTTCAAACGTTTGTCTGAGCCGCGACTTGAAGACTTCCAACGACCCAAACGCATATGGGTCGTGCAACTTGAGCCCCAGCGCCCAAGTCTTGGCACGTCCTGCCAGATTTGACTGGGCAAATGCAACTTGCATATCTCCGTCGTCGATGCGGCGCGCCCTTATGGCGTCATCCAATTCGACGAACCATCTCAAGACGAGTCTTCTTCGAGCCCCCTATACTTGGAGATGTCAATCTTCAAGGTTTCGGGTCGACGCGAGTGCATCGACCCATCAGCGGCAGCCTGCTGCTGTCTCAACAGTTCAAACTGTTGAGCACCCTGTTCTCTAAACAACTCTGATTGTTGAGAACCTTGTTGGTGAAGCAAGGCTACTTTCTCACGTTCAGCGTCAAGTTCATTTTGAATAAACTTGGCGATAGTAGCATGTTGGGCATCTCTATTGAGAGCCTCTAGCATGACGCTAACAGCATGGATGCCCATGGTTGAACCCATCCGTTCAACCGCATCCCATTCGACATCGCTCAAATGAGAGTAGCCGTCACACGTAGCGTGAAAGCTTTGGTCATCTTCATCATCCAACATATTCATATTGGATGTGAACGCGGTCCTTGGACGGACTACAAAGTGCTACCAGGTGTAACGGGGCACCCTGAAGCATGTACTGGTGACAGTACAAGGTACTTATTCTGATGACAGAATAAGACGGTGCCTCGGAACTTCACGTACACTCGTACGTGCAGAGGAAGACGGTAAGAAGAAGCGAGTACTTGGTTAAAGTAAAAAGTAGAACTGTATTTATCATAGTTAATGTCTGCAATAAATCACTATTTATCTTCATCTAACTATGTCTAAATACAAATGTGTAAATCAATTATCTGCTCACCACTCATTGCGTGCGTCTGTCGCGGCGCGTCTTCGTGGGTTGATATAATGGCCCATATTGTAACGGGGTGAATCGTTACATAACAATTTATAAGAAATTGTTAATAGAATATAACTATAAGAGTTATATTCTCAGAATATTGTCATAAGGACAATATTCTGTAGCACTTCCAAGTAGTCCCTAATTGGTTGATATAGGCCATTATATCAACCAACGAAGACGCGCCACGACAGACGCACGCAATGAGTGGTGAGCAGATAACTGATTTACACATTTGTATTTAGACATAGTTAGATGAAGATAAATAGTGATTTATTGCAGACATTAACTATTATAAATACAGTTCTACTTTTTACTCTAACCGAGTACTCGCTTCTTCTTACCGTCTTCCTCTGCACGTACGAGTGTACGTGAAGTTACGAGGCACCGCCTTATTCTGTTATCAGAATAAGTAGCTTGTACTGTCACCAGTACAAGCTTCAGGGTGCCCCGTTACACCTGGTAGCACTTCGTAGTCCGTCCAAGGACCGCGTTCACATCCAACATGAATATGTTGGATGATGAAGATGACCAAAGCTTTCACGCTACGCGTGACGGCTACTCCCATTTGAGCGATGTCGAATGGGATGCGGTTGAACGAATGGGTTCGACCATGGGCATCCATGCTGTTAGCGTCATGCTAGAGGCTCTCAATAGAGATGCCCAACATGCTACTATCGCCAAGTTCATTCAAAATGAACTTGACGCAGAACGCGAGAAAGTAGCCTTGCTTCACCAACAAGGTTCTCAACAAGCAGAGTTGTTGAGAGAACAAGGTGCTCAACAGTTTGAACTGTTGAGACAGCAGCAAGCTGCTGCTGGCGGGTCGATGCACTCGCGTCGACCCGAGACTTTGAAGATTGACATCTCAAAGTATAGAGGGGTCGAAGAAGACTCCCTCTTGAGATGGTTCGTCGAATTGGATGACGCCATAAGGGCGCGTCGCATCGACGACGGGGATATGCAAGTTGCATTTGCCCAGTCAAATCTGGCAGGACGTGCCAAGACTTGGGCACTGGGGCTCAAGCTGCACGACCCATATGCGTTTGGGTCGTTGGAAGTCTTCAAGTCGCGGCTCAGACAAACGTTTGAACCGCCTAGAGCTGAGTTCAGAGCTCGAACCGAACTCTTGAAGCTCAAGCAGGGTAAGCGTGATGTGCACGCTTACGCTCAACATATACGACATCTCACGAGTTGTATAAGTTCCAATCCGGTGGATGAACACACGTTGGTTTCGGTGTTCATGCAGGGTCTTGCGGATGGTCCCGTCAAGACTCACCTGTTCCGGCTTGAACTAGATTCACTAGAACAAGCCATTTCAATTGCGGAACAGGAAGACTTCAGTCTGAGACAGGCTCGCGCCAGCTCGACATCATATCGTCAACCGAGACGATATGACAACGGAGGTCCAGAGCCGATGGAACTCTGTTATGTAGAGAGCGAGAAGGCTCGCTCTACAGGCTACAAGAAGTTGCAGAGATGCAACAGATGTCAAAAGACAGGACACTACGCTTACGAGTGTAGTGCCCCTCGTCCAGTGTCTCGCGACACTGGGCGTAGTGACCGTCCACCCATGAGAAAGGGGCAGGGACGAGGGTCCGCAGTTGGTGCAAAGACGCAACAACGGGATGGACCGTCAAAAACGGACAGGATCAGTAGGTGCGGAGCACCCTACTGATCCAGCAACGTCAAGAGAATTTGTAGGCCTCTTGATGAAGGTTGCTCCCAACACACAGACATTGTGCGTTGCTGCTCTAGGTAATGAGATCTCACTCATTACCTTGAAACTCGAAGTGACGAATAAGTTGTCCCTTCGAGCTCTAGTCGATTGTGGGGCGTCCAACAATTTTGTGCGACGCCAATCGCTAGAAGATGGTCACTTTAAATTCAGTGAATGTGACACACCTCCTACGAGGATGACGGTACGTCTTGCGACAGGCGCATCCGTAACCAGTCATGAAGCGTATAGTGAAGATTCACTATACGCTAGAAGATACCCAATACGACGATGACTTTATCGTATTGGATTTGGATGACAAATTTGATGTCATCCTTGGAATACCGTGGCTCAGAAGGTACGAACCACGGGTAAACTGGCAACATCGGACAGTAACGATGCCTGCCGCTTGTTCATCAGATGGCCATCTGATGAACGTTTTGGAGCGTCCACAAGCGTGTGGATGTACTACGAGTGAGTGCGATGGCCTCACTTGTGGTACGGTCGTTAGTACGACTGCACAAAACCTTAGTGTACCAAACGGTTACACTTCGGAGCAAAGTTCCGGCGGCTGTGAGGAAACACAGGCTGCGCCGAAGGTCCACCACTCGAATAAGTCGGGTGGACTGGGACAAAGATGTATCCCTAGAGGGGAACATCTAGAAGAGAAACAATCGATCGCTCAGGTTAAGCGAAACGATAATCCTAGATCGACTGGAGAGTCTTTCGTAGAGGATCTCGCTGTGGTTGCGCAACCCCAGCTAGAGGAAATAAAGGGAATAAGTCCCAAGATAACAAATACGGCGGAAATAAGTTCCCCGAAACCCGCGGGAATAAGTCCCCGGGAAGACGAAGGAATAAGTCCTTCGAAGCCTGAGGGAATAAGTCCCCAGGAAATGACAGAGACATTGAATGTCATAGTCAATAACGGATCAAGTGTAGGCGCTTATACACTTGATCTGATTGCGCCTCCGAAGTTAACTTCGGAGATCACTCAGTTGCCAACGCTCGAACATAAAAGGTTCTTGCGTGATCTGCGTAGTGGCAAAGTCAAGCAGATCTGCATACTCGTCGCTGACGACGAGTGTGTAACCGACATAAGGTCAGCAACAGTGTTTACTGAGAACGAGAGAGTTCTCAGTAGTTCATCTATGGACGAGAGTGTCCTAGATGAAAAGACACGAATTGAGCGATATGAGTCCCAATCATGGGAATCGCTCAAGGAAAATCCTCTCTATGAAGATTTGGTTGAATTCAAGGATGTATTCCCTGAAACTGTTCCGTGCGAATTACCGAAGGATAAAGGTATTCGACACGAAGTCGAGCTTAAACCAGGCTCGAAGTACTGTGTCATGAAGCAGTGGCCACTGCCTCGTGAACAAGTACTTGCGATCGACAAGTTCTTTGCCGATCGTTTAGCAGCGGGCCATGTGAGGGAATCAACTTCCCCACATAGCTCTCCGACCTTCTGTGTGCGAAAAGCAACAGGAGGGTGGCGGATAGTGCACGCGTTTAACAAATTGAACGCTGCAACGGTACCGGCTCAGACGCCGATACCGAGGAAGGACGTAATCATTGATGGTATGTCAAAGAGTACCATCTTTTCGTCCATGGATTTGATGGATGGCTTCTATCAAATCCTAATGCGGGAACGGGATATACCCTATACCGCAGTTAGCACGCCTAGCGGCATGCTCTGGGAATGGCTAGTAATGCCACAAGGGCTCAGTAATGCCCCTGCCACGTTCAACAGATGTGTATCACATCTGTTGAGACCAGTACGAGAGTTCGCGCCGAGTTATTTCGATGACGTATTCATCCATAGTCGAGCTATGGATGGAAAGTCGGACGTTGAGGTTCACAGGTACCACGTCCGACAAGTTCTTACAATCATGCGAAAGCATCAATTGTATGCAAACCTCAAGAAGTGTATATTTGCAGCAAGCGAAATACCACTTCTTGGGTGCATCGTTGGTAAGAACGGTGTACGTCCTGATCCCGAAAAGATCAAGGCGATCACCGACTGGCCTGTGCCGGTCGATGTCAAAGGTCTTCGAAAATTCCTTAGGCTAGCGGCGTATTTGCATAAGTATTCACGCAATTACGCCGAGATGACTGTGCACCTCTCTCGTTTGTTGAAAAAGAACGAGAGGTGGTTATGGAACGCTGAATGTCAACGCTCCTTTGAGGGTATCAAGCAGAGCTTGATACAATCCCCAGTCCTAGCAATAGCCGATCAGGACAGGCCATTTCATGTGGTCTGTGATGCCAGCGATTTCGCAATCGGCTGTGCATTAATGCAGTACGACCTTGAAGGCGTTGAACGCGTCGTCTGCTATCAGTCGCGTCAGCTGCAACCAGCTGAGCGGAACTATCCAGTGCATGACAAGGAACTCCTTGCCATGAAGTATGCACTCGCGAAGTTCAGAGTCTATCTATTAGGAGATAGACCCTTCGTTGTTTACACTGACCATGCGTCCTTACGCACGGCAGTGAACAGCCCGCACCTTTCTCAACGAATGGCGCGGTGGTTGTCATTCTTTGCAGAATACAACTTTACGGTCGAGTACAAACCAGGACGACTTAATGTCGTCGCTGATGCGCTCTCACGTCGTCCCGACTTTGAAACAGTCGCGAAACCCAACAGTGAGACAGTCACTGTTGCGGTTATGACGTCCTCAGTTCCATCTACAACGTTGTATGATGATGTGAGGCGGGCATACGCCCAAGATGGTGAGATAGTGAAGTTGTTGTCACATCTCTCCCAACCATCTCGAGAATCGTTGAAACGATTGTCGTCTGCGTATCGATCTGCATCAGATCGATACACTACTCGTAACGGTTTACTGTACTATACAGCCGTTTCTGGTGACACACCACGTGTTGTCATTCCAGATGATACTGATCTGCGTTTGCGGATCATGTTCGAGTATCACGATGCTCCTATAGGAGGACATCGTGGCCGAGAGAAAACATATCTCACGGTAAGTCGAGACTTTTACTGGCCCCGCCAGTATCAGTTTGTGCGAAAGTATGTTCGCGCATGCGAAGTCTGCCAACGAGTGAAGTCAAGTCCTTCACTGCGTGCACCTTTACAGCCTCTACCGGTTCCGGCTGAGTGCTGGGAATCCATCTCAATGGATTTCGTCTTCGGGTTACCCAAAGACGCACGCGGGAATACGGGTATTCTCGTATTTGTTGACAGATTCAGCAAAATGGTACACCTTGTGGCTGTACCAGAGACAATCACGGCAAGTGGCTGTGCTTGTGTCTTTATTGACACCATCTTCCGACTTCATGGGTTGCCCCGTGAACTCGTATCAGACAGAGATCCACGATTCACTGCTGATTTCTGGCGTTCCGTGTTCAAATCACTCGGAACGCGCTTGAAGATGTCAACATCTGATCATCCAGAGTCAGATGGTCAGACGGAACGTGCCAACCGTGTCCTCGAAGAGATACTTCGAGGATACGTACACTCCTTTAAAAGTTGGAGTGAGTTTTTTGCCAATGGTAGAGTTTGCCATCAACAACTCGGTGCATGCGTCCACGACACATACACCGTTTTACGTGAATGGCTTGCGCCATCCGCGTGTACCCACCTTACTAGAGTGTAACTCTGGTTTAGGGGGAGGGACTCGCGCGAGCAAAAAACCGATTTGGTTCACGCTCATCACGCTCTGACGAAGAAGTCATTGCGTTTGATGCCGATATCGATAACATCGATATCGAAGAAGATGATGCCAGTGAGGTGCGGAAGCCCTCACTGAAGACAATGATCCCAGTGAGAGTGCGGAAGCCCTCACTGAAGAAAAGGTTGTTGTCGCTGCAGTGCGCTCACAGCACACTAAAGCTAACGAGTCATCAGATGAGTTCATACTGGCTCGTGAAACGGTAGTCCGTTTTGTGCAAGACTCCATCGCCGAAGCGGTGGATAAGCAAAAGCAAAACGCTGACAAGAATGGAAGGGCAAACACTCTTTTATTTCATAAAGGTGACTTAGTCCTACTGTCTACGGTTAATCTACCAAAACATGTAGTGACTAACTTGGGTAGCAGTAAACTACTACCCAAGTACATTGGCCCATTTCGTGTATTGCACCGCCTAGGCAATGCATACACGATCGAGTTACCACGTAAGATGCGAACGCATCCCACGTTTTACGTTGGTCGGCTTAAGCCGTACCATCAGTACGCTGCTTCTTCCGATGAAGAACGCCCTTGCGCTCAAGCATCTCGCAGAGAGCCTTGTGCTCCCGATGGTGGGCATCAACAAGGGTCTGAAGAGCAGTTATCTCAGCCCGAGACCGATCAACAATCCCACGAGCTACCCTTAGCTCGTCACGAAGAGATGTCAGAGATCTCTCGTTCTCAAGCTGAGCAAAGGCAAACTCAGCTCGATGCTTCGAGGCAGTGTCCACCATCTGGAGACGCCTATTCCGCTCATGCTCGAGATCGTCGCGTAACCCTTGCGTTACGCGATCAAAGAAGCTCTCGGGAACACACCGATCCACATGATCGTGTGGAGAGCGTCTTTCCTCCTCCTCCACCTCCATTAGAGGACTCTCGCGGTGGCCAGCGCTATCTAGTAGAGCAGCTGTTGAACCACCGCGACGTGAACGGACGTCGGACGAGTTACCTCGTCCGGTGGCGCGGCTATCCCCCGTCCTGGGATTCTTGGGAGCCCCGCTCCCAATTGATGGTTGACGTACTGGGTCTGGTCGAGCAGTACGACGCGACACATCCTGTGCCGCAGAAGGACCGCCGGAGAAAGTCTTCCCGGCACGGTCGTAAAGGGATTTCAGGTTGTCAATCCCTTCGTACATCTCAGTAGAGACACGTACGCGCCACCACGGGCTGGTAAGGAGGTAAGCCTCCTTAGGTGCTCGTGCAGAGTTGTTCACACAACATGGGCACGAGTCTCCCCAAGAGAGGCAGGGTAATCCTTTCTCCCTTGACAGACGATGCAGCTTATAGCGTGCACCTGTCGGGGTTCGCTTTTCAAACTTATCACGAGCTTTGATAAGTTTGTCGTTCCAAGCGTCACGACCTACATCCTCAAGGTTATGGATGTAGGCGTTCCACGCCTGAAGCAGTGAGGGACCATCACGTTTGTGATTCCCACTGTACCATCGATGTCTGAAGAAAGCATCGATGAAGAACTCATGTTCAGCGCGATAGTCTTTCGCGCTGGGGTCAAGGTGATGGATCCTTGACGAATCGAACAATCGTGTTCGATAACGATCACTCGTCGTCGCCGACAAGTGATCCATGACAGATTTAGGAGGCATCCATGCCTTCTTTTCTGGAGCGAGACGCAACACATTGCGGTCCCGCTCTTCCTGCGACGTGCCGACAGAAGTACTGGCACCTCGCTGTGAAGTGGTGTCCATTGGAGAAACGACACCACTATTAGCGCCCGAGTCTCGCGACCTCGAGCGCCTTCGCTTCGGCGATGGTTCATCTGACTCATCAGATGAACCAAAGATGCTGCGACGCAAAGCATCGTCCATGCCACGCTTGGCAGGCGGCTTGGATTCAATTGCCGTCGATACGGATCCGTCATCCGTATCAGGAGAGTACGAGACACCGAGCTCGTACTCTGTGAAGACACGAGTGTCTTCATGACCAGCGCCTGCATCACCAGGTGATACAGGCTGAGTCGATTCAGCAACCGATGGGATATCAGTTGCTGTAGTTTCTGCTTCGGCGTCCGCACAGATACGTGCAGACGCGCTCTCGGCGGCCTTGCTCGCGCATCGCATGGGCTTGTTTACCATGCGATGAGATGTTGGAAAGTGGACGCGGACCAACAAGTGCAAACCCCGTCCCAAATGATTTGGGACGAGTATCCATTTAGTCAATCAGTCACTAAAGTGACTGATGGTTAAGGGGGGTGATGTAACGGGGTGAATCGTTACATAACAATTTATAAGAAATTGTTAATAGAATATAACTATAAGAGTTATATTCTCAGAATATTGTCATAAGGACAATATTCTGTAGCACTTCAAGTAGTCCCTAATTGGTTGATATAGGCCGTTATATCAACCAACGAAGACGCGCCACGACAGACGCACGCAATGAGTGGTGAGCAGATAACTGATTTACACATTTGTATTTAGACATAGTTAGATGAAGATAAATAGTGATTTATTGCAGACATTAACTATTATAAATACAGTTCTACTTTTTACTCTAACCGAGTACTCGCTTCTTCTTACCGTCTTCCTCTGCACGTACGAGTGTACGTGAAGTTACGAGGCACCGCCTTATTCTGTTATCAGAATAAGTAGCTTGTACTGTCACCAGTACAAGCTTCAGGGTGCCCCGTTACACATATCAACCAATTAGGAACTACTCGTAAGTGCTACAGAGAATTTGTCGTTATGACAATATTCTGAGAATATAACTCTTCTAGTTATATTCTATTAACAATTTCTTATAAATTGTTATGTAACGATTCACCCCGGTACATATCGAATCCGGTCGCTCCCAAGCCTCCATCTCGCACTTCACGTCAATGAACGATCCCTCATGAAACGGGTCTGGAAAGCGAATCCATGCTGCATGTAAATACAGTCGATCGGCCCGACGTCCGCCGTATTTGGTGTCCCCGACAATCGGCGCATCCAATGCTTGCGCACAGTGCACTCGAAGTTGGTGCTTGCGACCCGTGCGAGGTCGGAGCTGCAGCCAGGCGGTCCTACCACTGTGCTCAATGTGGCGGTCGTCGTTTCGCTGCAGCACGCGCTCCACTAACGTGCACGCGGCTTTGCCGTCCACTGGGTCATGTACCTCTTGTCCTTCCAACTGTTTCCAGCTCGAGGAGCTCTCGCCTTTTGACGAGCGTCTTGCCACGAGTGCCTCGTACGTCTTGTGCACAGCCCCGCTTCGGAGCAGCGCCGAGAACTTGGCAGCTGCGAGACGGGAACGCGCCAGCACCAGCACGCCCGAAGTCTCCTTGTCCAGTCGATGCACCAGTCGCAGTGTCTCTTGCTGGTCGTCGTCGTCGTCATTGTCGTTGTTTTTCGCTTGCTTGCAGGAGCCACTTCCCATGAGCTTGGCCAGGAATGGCAAGTACCGGTCCAGCGACTCGGTCAACTTCGAGCCGCCCTGCAGCATCCAACAACAACAGCAACAGCAGCACGAGAAGACACACACAACACATCATGTCCTTGCCTTCCCCCTATCTCCTCCACAGCAAGCGAGCAACTCCCTTCAAGCTGCTGCTCCTGCTCTCTTCGTTCTACCTGCACTGCAAGTCCCTGAGGCTTGTCAAGTACCACAAAGTGCGCGTCTTGATACACAACGCGCTCCATCAAGCGCTTCGCTCGCTTCACGTCTCCACTCGTGCCCATTGTCTCGTTCCCTCGCGTCGCTTCCAGTCGAAACTTCGTCCGTACGTCAAACTTCAGCGACTGGAGGAGCTTTGACTGAAACAGACGCGCGTGAATGGCCACGACGGAACCTTCGCGCAGTACTGAATTGGCTCGAGTCGCTTCGAAATGCGACGCGGCGGACTGCAGTCGGATCTGGCGCTTGCGCAGCTCCGACTGCCAGAAGCTCTGCGGCAGAAACGGGAACTGCAGTCGCAGCCATCGGTCGAGACGCAGCTCCTGGTCCGGCGCGCGCACGACGTGGCGCATCCAGCGGAGCTCCTGCCGCCACATACGACAGTCGATGGCTTTTGGTAGTCGAGATAGAGATAGAGATCGAGAGGCAGATAGAGTCAGAGGTGTCGTGAGAGAGAGATGCAGATAGAGTGGCGGATAGAGATAGAATCCTGCTTGGGGATAGAGAGGGCGATAGAGTTCGATCAGAAAGCGAGATGGCTTGATGTCAAGTCCTCGTTCAAGAGACGTTTACACTGTTCCAGCACGTTTGTCATTGGCAGGCATCGAACAGGACACGAGCCATTTCAGCCTCTTCTCAACGCCTTTTCAGCCTCTTTACAACGCCTTTTCAGCCTCTTCACAACGCCTTTTCAGCCTCTTCCAAGTTGGCGTAGAGTCACTTCACAAGAGCATCGTGGCAGTTTTGTCGCGCGATCCTTGCGCGGCTGGTGTTCTATTATGGTGTAGGAATGAACGCAAGTGTTTAGACGCGTGTCTCTGAAGTGGAAACTCCTGTTCACATTGGACAGCTAGCTGCATGTGGAGATGGAAATGCGGTTTGACGAGTCGCTTTGACTGGACAAGGCAGTGGTCGCGTGGCAGGGCGCAAGCGAGTTTGCTGCTGAGGAGTCACTTGAAAGCAGTGAACGTGACAGCGTTGCGCCAGTCTAGCGCGGACAAGCTGGTTGTATGCGTTGATCACAGAGCTCGGGGTGCCGTATAATTGTGCGGCTTGGAAGGAGAATCGTGCGCTGTCGACCGCAAGGTGTCAACTTAGTCCTGCGCTGACGGTCCAGCGAGATGTCATAGATGGTGGTGGAATACTGGATGTTGCGCAGAAACGAGAGCAAAGGGCTCAGCGTCGTATGGACGCAAGAGTGCAGTGCAGCAGGTACTGTGACTCGAGAAGTTGCACCGTGAGCAGTAACAGCTTCAGCAGGGGCAATACGCACAACTACTTGCTGCGATCCAGCGAAAAGCAAACAATGGTGCTTGTTCTTACGAGGACGTTGACTTCACGAAGTCCATCAGGGAACACTATCTTCAATGGCTGGAAAATGGGACCGCAGAACAGGGATGCAAATGCAGAAGCTGCAATGCTGCAATGCTCGCGTTTGGAACAACGTTGACGACGCACGATGAACTGCTTGTACTGCTTCGTTACACGTCTACCTAAGCATCGGCGGACGTGAGCTTTGCTTGGTGGTCTGAGCGGCCACGCTTAACACAATCTTGGAATCGACGCTTGAGCAGCTTATCATCCGGGGCAAGCTGCATGGCAGCCCACATGGTACATGCAGCCTCTTCGAAAAGCCCGAGCGCTTCAAGGCACTGCCCCTCGCGGAAGAGCGCCTTGGGCCACTCTGGACGCAACTTCTTTGACACCCGCACGTCATGCAGCGCCAATTTCGTGTCGCCTGCACCCAAATACGCCGCACAACGATTGCTGTACAGCACAGCGTCGGCGGGTGTAATTGCGATAGCCTGAGAGTAAAGCTTGACTGATAATGCATAGTCTTTCACCAGGTATGCTTTGTTTCCCTCGCCCTTGAGTCTCGCGGCTTCCGCCATCTTTTCTTCATCCACCTCTACAGCCTCAGGTACAGCAACGTCTTCTTCCTTTTCAATCTCAGCCAGCTTCTTTCGGGTTTCAGCCTCCAGCTTCTCTTCCGCAGTAACAGGCTCCTTTGCTTCGACAGAGGCAACAGGAGTCTTGTTTTTAGCAGCCTGCTCGTAAAACGCATCCAGCTTAGCCTTCTCCTCCACCACCAACTTGTCCAAGTCAGCATCTTCGAATCCCTCGCTGATCGGCTTCAGCAGCGTCACGATTTCATGATGCTCCATTCCAGCAGCAAGTTGTAAAGGCTTGGCACCAGCATCCGACAATAGATTCGCAGCTTCCTTTGCATCTTCTGGGCGACACGTCAGAAACTCCTGAACCACTGCAGAAAACCCAGTCTCAGCAGCCATGTGAAGTGCCGTGAGGCCACCGCTCATTGCCAACGATAGCGTTGCTCCGCCCTCTAGCAGCTCCTTCACCACGACGGGTTTGTTCATGAGACAAGCCAGCATCAGTGGCGTGACGCCGCCTGCATTTGTCACATCCGCCTTCGCACCAAGACGCAGCAGCTCGGCCACGGTCTTCTCACGGTTTTCACTCACGGCAAAGTGCAACGCCGTACCATTCTTGGTGGTAGCTTCCAGTTGCGCCTTGTGCTCGACCAGTACCTTCACTGTTCGGATACTGCCATTAGCTGCTGCTTCATGCAGGGCCGTCGTGCCATTCTTCATAGCCACGTTCGGGTCGGCACAATAAGCCAGCAGCAACGTCACGGCCGAGAACTCGTTCTCTTTAGCTGCATACAGCAGCGGAGTCGCTCCTTCTTCGTCCACAGCTTCAATACAGTCAGGGGCTTGTTCCAAGATGTAATTAATCACTTGACGACGCCCTTTCGCCGCGGCAAAGTGCAGCGCCGTGCGTTTGTGCGCGTCCTTAAAGTCCAGAAGCGCCTCTTTCACGTCCGTCACGCCCATCACCTGCAGCGACTTGACCGTTCTCTTGAGCATCTCGAGATCGCCATCTACAGCAGAAATGGTTGGAATGAGAACGTGAGGATTGGATCAGAAAAATGGCCACAACATTGAGAGAATTGTGTTCGCACTTTCGGCACTCGAGAGCAGGTCGCCAACGATCTTCTTCTGCTGTTGGAACTCGGATGCGCCCTGTTCCTTTTCTTCTCTGAGCGTCTTCGTCGTGTCGACCGCCGCCATTTTGATCCAATAAGTCGATCCCGACGTTCGCTGCCAGCCAGTCAACGGGATGGACGAAGTGGACACACAACCGAGCGTTCTGATTTGCGGATATTGATGGCGGTAAGCAGCCTATCACCGTACGCGAACGGACAACTTCAACTTGACCATGTATTGGACGAGGACCACGTCGCTCTAACGGTAGCATCGAGCACATTTTTAGCATGTACAAGCTGTAGATTAGAGGTAGAAGACTACTAGAGCACACTTGCTTTTTATTGCTGGTAAAGCTACGTCAGTTGTCGTTCTGCAGCCTCAAAGGGACTTTTGTGCGGGACCGTATCGACAGTGGAAGGGAACCACGAGCAGCGCTGATCCCAATCGTGAGCTTATATTGTTCATTCATCATCGACAAAAGTGACTTGACGTTTAGTTGCGTTTCTCTCCTCGTCTCAGGCTGATGGGACCGAGGAGATTGAGGCGATTGCAGTGGCATACGCTCTGACACGGGGAGGAATGAAGGTGACGCTGGCCAGTGTTGTCGCAAGCTTCAGAATATTGTGACCATGTCGCAAGGAGCAAAAATGCAAGGCGACATCGCCATTGAAGCTTGTAGGACCTTAGCTTTGATCTCATCATGTGCCCTAGGATTAGCGCGCTCACATCGTTTGTATTTAGTTGTCACGTTGATGATGCTCGTGCAAGAGTGTGACGGTTAGCGCTGTGTATAAAAACGACTCCAGGGCCCTGGTGCACAACATCTTCATGATCCGACTGAGCTGATCACGATGCTGCAAAAGAAAAAGCGGCAAAGCCGGTTCTACGGCGGCATTTGTGCAGCGCCAGCTGTTGTGCTTCTTCCCCATGGACTACTCGATGCAGGTCCGGCTACAACGTATTCAAGCTACGAGTCCAAAATGACTGGGGATGATTACCGCCCCAAAGAGCGTGTCGTAGTAAACGGCACGTGCGTGATCGACCAGATCCCCGGTACTGTGATCGAGGTGGGATCGAAGCTTGTTGAACTGCTATGTAGCGAGGAGAAGACGAAGTGTGGCTTCGGCATTGATTGCGTGAATTAATTGACCGACCTGAATGTCGTGCATTGACCGATCGGGCTCCGTACATACTTAGCAGCTGTCCACGATTTACCACAATAAACTGATCAAATTCTGATCACTATGTACCCCACCTAGCAGTTGCGTCCTTCAGTCACTTCTAAATGGGAATTAGAATTGTCCTGATAGGTCTCTCGATCTATTCGTCAGGTAATTGCGTGATATGGCTTGATAATGTCAAACATTACATTTCTTGCTGCTGGATTGCCGCAGTAGTTGTGTGTATTTCTCCTTCTGAAGCTGCTGCTGCTCACGATGCAACTACTCAGGCAACGCTACCAGCTCCTCCAATCGTCAGCTCTCTTGCTAACTTGTGAGTCATCAGCTCGACACGACGCTGCGATCTTTGCTCCAATTTCAGCGCAAGACCCGGTATTTTGCCACTCTATCTATTTTACCTTACTAGAACTGTTGACACAGAGCATAGTGGACACACTGCAGTTTGATATCAATCGGACATAAAGTACGACACGTCGGTTTAGATGATGTCACCCTTGATCGTTATAATTCAAGAGTCTTTCAATACAATGGGATTCATCCTCAGCCGTACTATCAATAATGTGCGCCGAGGTAAAGCAACATGCCATGGGCGCCCCAGCCATCGTCGTCGATATCGATAGTGTTGGTGCTATGTGCAGATGGGATGATCGTGGTGACAAGAGATGCACCATATGGGAAAGGACGACACAACGTGATTGTGCGTAACTGTTGATGGTATAGAAATGTTTCTATACCATGCACAACATGGGAGAGAGTACACAATGGGATTGTATGTATCGATGAGGTGCATCTCATCGTTATTAGTTTTATCGTGGAGTCGATATGAATAGGCTTAGAGTAGAAACGTCGAACTAAGGACCTAGCTAACAGTAATTTACTGTTCATTTTATCCTCTTCTCGTTGCATTAGTGATAACAGTACCCTTGGCTACCCTCATAATAAAACAAAACATAGGAGCGCCAATTGCCAAGTAACAAGCACAGTTTATATTGTGGTACCGATCTCATAACAAAATGCATACTGCGCCAGGTGATACTGCATGCCACTGTTCACCCGTCGTTCAGTTTTAGCCTGTGGTGTGTAAAACTTTCAAATCACCCTAAAATGTGTGTTGGTAATCGCGATTTCGCACAGAGAATTTCTAAAACGAGTGACTCGCCTACAAAAGGAGTGATTAGCCGCATAAAAACGCGGAAGGCTACGGTCCAAGTAGCACCACAGGAGACTCTAAAATCACAAACATTCTTGCCTAAATACACGAACAATTTCGGATTCCTTGCTGCAGACTATCCATTAGGCTTGATTCTTGTTGAACAACTCTAAAAACACCAAGTTGCAAAATACACAATTTTGCAAAATGCACCATATTGCAAAATGCACCTACATGCCGCTTGGGCCATCTATTTATCGTAAATTTACCATGCCTGAGCTAGCAAATGCTAAGAGAACATCACGATTAAACAAGAGATCGTCCACTATCCAGCCTTAGTCGAACCGCCTATTCTGTCTTCATAACTTGATCGTCTACATGACGATGAAACATCTAACCCTCACCTCTGGTGGTACTGTTCACGACGTTAATCCTTCTATTGGACACTTCCAGTAGCGCCGCTCCGTACACAAAATGAAGCCGTGACTGATACGGCAACTCATTTCTCCTCCGCTCCATCATGAATTTGTGAAGAGCCTTTTCCAGTCGGGCCATTCGGAAATCAAGAGGAAGCTGTAACGGGGCACCCTGAAGCTTGTACTGGTGACAGTACAAGCTACTTGTACTGATGACAGAATAAGGCGGTGCTTCGTAACTTCACGTGCACTTGTACGTGCAGAGGAAGACGGTAAGAAGAAGCGAGTACTTGGTTAGAGTAAAAGTAGAACTGTATTTATAATAGTTAATGTCTGCAATAAATCACTATTTATCTTCATCTAACTATGTCTAAATACAAATGTGTAAATCAATTATCTGCTCACCACTCATTGCGTGCGTCTGTCGTGGCGCGTCTTCGTTGGTTGACATAATGGCCTATATCAACCAATTAGGAACTACTCGTAAGTGCTGCAGAAAATTTGTCCTTATGACAATATTCTGAGAATATAACTCTGATATTTATATTCGATTAACACTTTCTTATAAATTGTTATGTAACGATTCACCCCGTTACATCACCCCCCCTTAACCATCAGTCACTTTAGTGACTGATTGACTAAATGGATACTCGTCCCAAATCATTTGGGACGGGGTTTGCACTTGTTGGTCCGAGTCCACTTTCCAACATATCATCGCATGGTTAACAAGCCCATGCGATGCGCGAGCAAGGCCGCCGAGAGCGCGTCCGCACGTCTCTGTGCGGGCGCCGAAGCAGAAACCACAGCAACTGATGTCTCATCGGTTGCTGAAGCGACCCAGCCTGTATCACCTGGTGATGCAGGCGCTCGTCATGAAGACACTCATGTCTTCACAGAGTATGAGCTCGGTGTCTCGTACTCTACTGATACGGAAGACGGATCCGTATCGACGGCGATCGAATCCGAGCCGCCTGCCAAGCGTGGCATGGACGATGCTATGCGTCGTAGCATCTTTGGTTCATCTGATGAGTCAGATGAACCATCGCCGAAGCGAAGGCGATCGAGGTCGCGAGACTCGGGCGCTAACAGTGGTGTCGTTTCTCCAATGGACACCACTTCACAGCGAGGTGCCAGTACTTCTGTCGGCACGTCGCAGGAAGAGCGGGACCGCAATGTGTTGCGTCTCGCTCCAGAAAAGAAGGCATGGATGCCTCCTAAATCTGTCATGGATCACTTGTCGGTGACGACGAGTGATCGTTATCGAACACGATTGTTCGATTCGTCGAGGATTCATCACCTTGACCCCAGCGCGAAAGACTATCGCGCTGAACATGAGTTCTTCATCGATGCTTTCTTCAGACATCGATGGTACAGTGGGAATCACAAACGTGATGGTCCCTCACTACTTCAGGCGTGGAACGCCTACATCCATAATCTCGAGGATGTAGGTCGTGACGCTTGGAACGACAAACTTATCAAAGCTCGTGATAAGTTTGAAAAGCGAACCCCAACAGGTGCACGCTACAAGCTGCATCGTCTGTCAAGGGAGAGTGGGTTACCCTGCCTCTCTTGGGGAGACTCGTGCCCGTGTTGTGTGAACAACTCTGCACGAGCACCTAAGGAGGCTTACCTCCCTAATAGCCCGTGGTGGCGTGTACGTATCTCTACTGAGATGTACGAAGGGATTGATAACCTGAAATCCCTTTACGACCGTGCCGGGAAGACTTTTTCCGGCGGTCCTTCTGCGGCACAGGATGTGCCGCGTCGTACTGCTCAACCAGACCCAGGACGTCAATCATCAGTTGGGAGCGGGGCTCCCAAGTATCCCAGGACAAGGGATAGCCGCGCCACCGGACGAGATAACTCGTCCGACGTCCGTTCACGTCGCGGTGGTTCAACAGCTGCTCAACTAGATAGCGCTGGCCACCGCGAGAGTCCTCTAATGGAGGTGGAGGAGGAGGAAAGACGCTCTCCACACGATCATGGGGATCCGTGTGTTCCCGAGAGCTTCTTTGATCGCGTAACGCAAGGGTTACGCAACGTTCTCGAACATGAGCGGGACAGGCGTCTCCAAATGGCGTACACTGTCTTGAAGCATCGAGCTGAGTTTGCATTTGCTCAGCTTGAGAACGAGAGAGCTCTGACATATCTTCGTGACGAGCTAAGGGTAGCTCGTGGGATTGTTGATCGGTCTCGGGATGAGATAGCTGCTCTTCAGACCCTTGTTGATGCCCAACATCGGGAGCACAAGGCTCTCTGCGAGATGCTTGAGCGCAAGGGCGTTCTTCATCGGAAGAAGCAGCGTACTGATGGTACGGCTTAAGCCGACCAACGTAAAACGTGGGATGCGTTCGCATCTTACGTGGCAACTCGATCGTGTATGCATTGCCTAGGCGGTGCAATACACGAAATGGGCCGATGTACTTGGGTAGTAGTTTACTGCTACCCAAGTTAGTCACTACATGCTTTGGTAGATTAACCATAGACAGTAGGACTAAGTCACCTTTATTAAATAAAAGAGTGTTTACCCTTCCATTCTTGTCAGCGTTTTGCTTTTGCTTGTCCACCACTTCGGCGATGGAGTCTTGCACAAAACGGACTACCGTTTCACGAGCCAGTATGAACTCATCTGATGACTCGTTAGCTTCAGTGCGCTGTGAGCGCACTGCAGCAAAATCAACCTTTTCTTCAGTGAGGGCTTCCGCACTCTCACTGGGATCATCTTCTTCAGTGAGGGCTTCCGCACTCTCACTGGCATCATCTTCTTCGATATCGATGTTATCGATATCGGCATTAAACGCAACGACCTCTTCGTCAGAGCGTGATGAGCGTGAACAAATCGGTTTTTGCTCGCGCGAGTCCCTCCCCCCTTAAACCAGAGTTACACTCTAGTAAGGTGGGTACACGCGGATGGCGCAAGCCATTCACGTAAAACGGTGTATGTGTCGTGGACGCATGCAGCGAGTTGTTAATGGCAAACTCTACCATGGGCAAGAACTCACTCCAACTCTTAAAGGAGTGTACGTATCCTCGAAGTATCTCTTCAAGGACACGATTGGCACGTTCCGTCTGACCATCTGACTCTGGATGATCAGATGTCGACATCTTCAAGCGTGTTCCGAGTGATTTGAACACGGAACGCCAGAAACCAGCAGTGAATCGTGGATCTCTGTCTGATACGAGTTCACGGGGCAACCCATGAAGTCGGAAGATGGTATGAATAAAGACACAAGCACAGCCTCTTGCCGTGATTGACTCTGGTACAGCCACTAGGTGTACCATTTTGCTGAATCTGTCAACAAATACGAGAATACCCGTATTCCCGCGTGCGTCTTTGGGTAACCCGAAGAAGAAATCCATTGAGATGGATTCCCAGCACTCAGCCGGAACCGGTAGAGGCTGTAAAGGTGCACGCAGTGAAGGACTTGACTTCACTCGCTGACAGACTTCGCATGCGCGAACATACTTTCGCACAAACTGATACTGGCGGGGCCAGTAAAAGTCTCGACTCACCGTGTGATATGTTTTCTCTCGGCCACGATGTCCTCCTATAGGAGCATCGTGATACTTGAACATGATCCGCAAACGCAGATCAGTATCATCTGGAATGACAACACGTGGTGTGTCACCAGAAACGGCTGTATAATACAGTAAATTCGTTACGAGTAGTGTATCGATCTGATGCAGATCGATACGCAGGCGACAATCGTTTCAACGATTCTCGAGATGGTTAAGAGAGATGTGTCAACAACTTCACTATCTCACCATCTTGGGCGTATGCCCGCCTCACATCATCATACAACGTTGTAGATGGGACTGAGGACGTCATAACCGCAACAGTGACTGTCTCATTGTTGGGTTTCGCGACTGTTTCAAAGTCGGGACGACGTGAGAGTGCATCAGCGACGACATTAAGTCGTCCTGGTTTGTACTCGACCGTAAAGTTGTATTCTGCAAAGAATGACAACCACCGCGCCATTCGTTGTGAAAGGTGCGGGCTGTTCACTGCCGTGCGTAATGACGCATGGTCAGTGTAAACAATGAAGGGTCTATCTCGTAATAGATAGACTCTGAACTTCGCGAGTGCATACTTCATGGCAAAAAGTTCCTTTTCATGCACTGGATAGTTCCGCTCAGCTGGTTGCAGCTGACGCGACTGATAGCAGACGACGCGTTCAACGCCTTCAAGATCGTACTGCATTAATGCACAGCCGATTGCGAAATCGCTGGCATCACAGACCACATGAAATGGCCTGTCCCGATCGTCAATTGCTAGGACTGGGGATTGTATCAAGCTCTGCTTGATACATCAAAGGAGCGCTGACATTCATCGTTCCATAACCACCTCTCGTTCATTTTCAACAAACGAGAGAGGTGCACAGTCATCTCGGCGTAATTGCGTGGGTACTTATGCAAATACGCCGCTAGCCCAAGGAATTTTCGAAGACCTTTGACATCAACCGCACAGGCCAGTCGGTGATCGCCTTGATCTTTTCGGGATCAGGACGTGCACCGTTCTTACCAACGATGCACCCAAGAAGTGGTATTTCGCTTGCTGCAAATATACACTTCTTGAGGTTTGCATACAATTGATGCTTTCGCATGATTGTAAGAACCTGTCGGACGTGGTACCTGTGAACCTCAACGTCCGAATTTCCATCCATAGCTCGACTATGGATGAATACGTCATCGAAATAACTCGGCGCGAATTCTCGTACTGGTCTCAACAGATGTGATACACATCTGTTGAATGTGGCAGGGGCATTACTAAGCCCTTGTGGCATTACAAGCCATTCCCAGAGCATGCCGCTAGGCGTGCTAACTGCGGTATAGGGTATGTCTCGTTCTCGCATAAGGATTTAATAGAAGCCATCCATCAAATCGATGGACGAAAAGATGGTACTCTTTGACATACCATCAATGATTACGTCCTTCCTCGGTATCGGCGTCTGAGCCGGTACCGTTGCAGCGTTCAATTTGTTGAACGCGTGCACTATCCGCCACCCTCCTGTTGCTTTTCGCACACAGAAGGTCGGAGAGCTATGTGGGGAAGTTGATTCCCTCACATGGCCCGCAGCTAAACGATCGGCAAAGAACTTGTCGATCGCAAGTACTGTTCACGAGGCAGTGGCCACTGCTTCATGACACAGTACTTCGAGCCTGGTTTAAGCTCGACCTCGTGTCGAATACCTTTATCCTTCGGTAATTCGCACGGAACAGTTTCAGGGAATACATCCTTGAATTCAACCAAATCTTCATAGAGAGGATTTTCCTTGAGCGATTCCCACGATTGGGAGTCATATCGCTCAATTCGTGTCTTTTCATCTAGGACACTCTCGTCCATAGATGAACTACTGAGAACTCTCTCGTTCTCAGTAAACACTGTTGCTGACCTTATGTCGGTTACACACTCGTCGTCAGCGACGAGTATGCAGATCTGCTTGACTTTGCCACTACGCAGATCACGCAAGAACCTTTTATGTTCGAGCGTTGGCAACTGAGTGATCTCCGAAGTTAACTTCGGAGGCGCAATCAGATCAAGTGTATAAGCGCCTACACTTGATCCGTTATTGACTATGACATTCAATGTCTCTGTCATTTCCTGGGGACTTATTCCCTCAGGCCTCGAAGGACTTACTCCTTCGGTTTCCCGGGGACTTATTCCCACGGGTTTCGGGGAACTTGTTTCCGCCGTATTTGTAATCTCGGGACTTATTCCCTTAACTTCCTCTAGCTGGGGTTGCGCAACCACAGCGAGATCCTCTACGAAAGACTCTCCAGTCGATCTAGGATTATCGTTTCGCTTAACCTGAGCGATCGATTGTTTATCTTCTAGATGTTCCCCGCTAGGGATACATCTTTGTCCCAGTCCAACCGACTTATTCGAGTGGTGGACCTTCGGCGCAGCCTGTGTTTCCTCACAGCCGCCGGAACTTTTCTCCGAAGTGTAACCGATTGGTACAATAAGGTTTTGTGCAGTCGTACTAACGACCGTACCACAAGTGAGGCCATCGCACTCACTCGTAGTACATCCACACGCTTGTGGACGCTCTAAAACGTTCATCAGATGGCCATCTGATGAACAAGCGGCAGGCATCGTTACTGTCCGATGTTGCCAGTTTACCCGTGGTTCGTACCTTCTGAGCCACGGTATTCCAAGGATGACATCAAATTTGTCATCCAAACCCAATACGATAAAGTCATCATCATATTGAGTATCTTCTAGCGCATAGTGGATCTTCACTATACGCTTCATGACGGTTACGGATGCGCCTGTCGCAAGACGTACCGTCATCCTCGTAGGAGGTGTGTCACATTCACTGAATTTAAAGTGACCATCTTCTAGCGATTGGCGTCGCACAAAATTGTTGGACGCCCCACAATCGACTAGAGCTCGAAGGGACAACTTATTCGTCACTTCGAGTTTCAAGGTAATGAGTGAGATCTCATTACCTAGAGCAGCAACGCACAACGTTTGTGTGTTGGGAGCAACCTTCATCAAGAGGCCTACAAATTCTCTTGACGTTGCTGGACCAGTAGGGTGCTCCGCACCTACTGATCATGTCCGTTTTTTGACGGTCCATCCCGTTGTTGCGTCTTTGCACCAACAGCGGACCCGCGTCCCTGCCCCTTTCTCATGGGTGGACGGTCACTACGCCCAGTATCGCGAGACACTGGACGAGGGGCACTACACTCGTAAGCGTAGTGTCCTGTCTTTTGACATCTGTTGCATTTCTGCAACTTCTTGTAGCCTGTAGAGCGAGCCTTCTCGCTCTCTACATAACAGAGTTCCATCGGCTCTGGACCTCCGTTGTCATATCGTCTCGGTTGACGATATGATGTCGAGCTGGCGCGAGCCTGTCTCAGACTGAAGTCTTCCTGCTCCGCAATGGAAATGGCTTGTTCTAGTGAATCTAGTTCAAGCCGGAACAGGTGAGTCTTGACGGGACCATCCGCAAGACCCTGCATGAACACCGAAACCAACGTGTGTTCATCCACCGGGTTGGAACTTATACAACTCGTGAGATGTCGTATGTGTTGCGCGTGAGCGTGCACATCAAGCTTACCCTGCTTGAGCTTCAAGAGTTCGGTTCGAGCTCTGAACTTAGCTCTAGGCGGTTCAAACGTTTGTCTGAGCCGCGACTTGAAGACTTCCAACGACCCAAACGCATATGGGTCGTGTAACTTGAGTCCCAGTGCCCAAAAGTCTTGGCACGTCCTGCCAGATTTGACTGGGCAAATGCAACTTGCATATCTCCGTCGTCGATGCGGCGCGCCCTTATGGCGTCATCCAATTCGACGAACCATCTCAAGACGAGTCTTCTTCGACCCCCCTATACTTGGAGATGTCAATCTTCAAGGTTTCGGGTCGACGCGAGTGCATCGACCCACCAGCGGCAGCCTGCTGCTGTCTCAACAGTTCAAACTGTTGAGCACCCTGTTCTCTCAACAACTCTGCTTGTTGAGAACCTTGTTTGTGAAGCAAGGCTACTTTCTCGCGTTCTGCTTCAAGTTCATTTTGAATGAACTTGGCGATAGTAGCATGTTGGGCATCTCTATTGAGAGCCTCTAGCATGACGCTAACAGCATGGATGCCCATGGTTGAACCCATCCGTTCAACCGCATCCCATTCGACATCGCTCAAATGGGAGTAGCCGTCACGCGTAGCGTGAAAGCTTTGGTCATCTTCATCATCCAACATTTTCATGTTAGATGTGAACGTGGTCCTTGGACGGACTACGAATTGCTACCAGGTGTAACGGGGCACCCTGAAGCTTGTACTGATGACAGTAGCACAAGCTACTTCTTCTGATGACAGAATAAGGCGGTGCCTCGTAACTTCACGTACACTCGTACGTGCAGAGGAAGACGGTAAGAAGAAGCGAGCACTTGGTTAAAGTAAAAAGTAGAGCTGTATTTAGTCATAGTTAATGTCTGCAATAAATCACTATTTATCTTCATCTAACTATGTCTAAATACAAATGTGTAAATCAATTATCTGCTCACCACTCATTGCGTTCGTCTGTCGTGGCGCGTCTTCGTTGGTTGACATAATGGCCTATATCAACCAATTCGGAACTACTCGTAAGTGCTGCAGAAAATTTGTCCTTATGACAATATTCTGAGAATATAACTTTGATAGTTATATTCTGTTAACAATTTCTTATAAATTGTTATGTAACGATTCAACCCGTTACATGGTAGCACTTCGTACTCCGTCTAGGGACCGCGTTCACATCCAACATGAATATGTTGGATGATGAAGATGACCAAAACTTCCACGCTACGCTTGACGGCTACTCCTATTTGAGCGATGTCGAATGGGATGCGGTTGAACGAATGGGTTCAACCATGGGCATCCATGCTGTTAGCGTCATGCTAGAGGCTCTCAACAGAGATGCCCAACATGCTACTATCGCCAAGTTTATTCAAAATGAACTTGACGCAGAACGCGAGAAAGTAGCCTTGCTTCACAAACAAGGTTCTCAACAAGCAGAGTTGTTGAGAGAACAGGGTGCTCAACAGTTTGAACTGTTGAGACAGCAGCAGGCTGCCGCTGATGGGTCGATGCACTCGCGTCGACCCGAAACCTTGAAGATTGACATCTCCAAGTATAGGGGGCTCGAAGAAGACTCGTCTTGAGATGGTTCGTCGAATTGGATGACGCCATAAGGGCGCGCCGCATCGACGACGGAGATATGCAAGTTGCATTTGCCCAGTCAAATCTGGCAGGACGTGCCAAGACTTGGGCGCTGGGGCTCAAGTTGCACGACCCATATGCGTTTGGGTCGTTGGAAGTCTTCAAGTCGCGGCTCAGACAAACGTTTGAACCGCCTAGAGCTGAGTTCAGGGCTCGAACCGAACTCTTGAAGCTCAAGCAGGGTAAGCGTGATGTGCACGCTTACGCTCAACATATACGACATCTTACGAGTTGTATAAGTTCCAATCCAGTGGATGAACACACGTTGGTTTCGGTGTTCATGCAGGGTCTTGCGGATGGTCCCGTCAAGACTCACCTGTTCCGGCTTGAACTAGATTCACTAGAACAAGCCATTTCCATTGCGGAGCAGGAAGACTTCAGTCTGAGACAGGCTCGCGCCAGCTCGACATCATATCGTCAACCGAGACGATATGACAGCGGAGGTCCAGAGCCGATGGAACTCTGTTATGTAGAGAGCGAGAAGGCTCGCTCTACAGGCTACAAGAAGTTGCAGAAATGCAACAGATGTCAAAAGACAGGACACTACGCTTACGAGTGTAGTGCCCCTCGTCCAGTGTCTCGCGACACTGGGCGTAGTGACCGTCCACCCATGAGAAAGGGGCAGGGACGCGGGTCCGCTGTTGGTGCAAAGACGCAACAACGGGATGGACCGTCAAAAAACGGACATGATCAGTAGGTGCGGAGCACCCTACTGGTCCAGCAACGTCAAGAGAATTTGTAGGCCTCTTGATGAAGGTTGCTCCCAACACACAAACGTTGTGCGTTGCTGCTCTAGGTAATGAGATCTCACTCATTACCTTGAAACTCGAAGTGACGAATAAGTTGTCCCTTCGAGCTCTAGTCGATTGTGGGGCGTCCAACAATTTTGTGCGACGCCAATCGCTAGAAGATGGTCACTTTAAATTCAGTGAATGTGACACACCTCCTACGAGGATGACGGTACGTCTTGCGACAGGCGCATCCGTAACCGTCATGAAGCGTATAGTGAAGATCCACTATGCGCTAGAAGATACCCAATATGACGATGACTTTATCGTATTGGATTTGGATGACAAATTTGATGTCATCCTTGGAATACCGTGGCTCAGAAGGTACGAACCACGGGTAAACTGGCAACATCGAACAGTAACGATGCCTGCCGCTTGTTCATCAGATGGCCATCTGATGAACGTTTTGGAGCGTCCACAAGCGTGTGGATGTACTACGAGTGAGTGCGATGGCCTCACTTGTGGTACGGTCGTTAGTACGACTGCACAAAACCTTATTGTACCAATCGGTTACACTTCGGAGAAAAGTTCCGGCGGCTGTGAGGAAACACAGGCTGCGCCGAAGGTCCACCACTCGAATAAGTCGGTTGGACTGGGACAAAGATGTATCCCTAGCGGGGAACATCTAGAAGATAAACAATCGATCGCTCAGGTTAAGCGAAACGATAATCCTAGATCGACTGGAGAGTCTTTCGTAGAGGATCTCGCTGTGGTTGCGCAACCCCAGCTAGAGGAAGTTAAGGGAATAAGTCCCAAGATTACAAATACGGCGGAAACAAGTTCCCCGAAACCCGTGGGAATAAGTCCCCGGGAAACCGAAGGAGTAAGTCCTTCGAGGCCTGAGGGAATAAGTCCCCAGGAAATGACAGAGACATTGAATGTCATAGTCAATAACGGATCAAGTGTAGGCGCTTATACACTTGATCTGATTGCGCCTCCGAAGTTAACTTCGGAGATCACTCAGTTGCCAACGCTCGAACATAAAAGGTTCTTGCGTGATCTGCGTAGTGGCAAAGTCAAGCAGATCTGCATACTCGTCGCTGACGACGAGTGTGTAACCGACATAAGGTCAGCAACAGTGTTTACTGAGAACGAGAGAGTTCTCAGTAGTTCATCTATGGACGAGAGTGTCCTAGATGAAACGACACGAATTGAGCGATATGACTCCCAATCATGGGAATCGCTCAAGAAAAATCCTCTCTATGAAGATTTGGTTGAATTCAAGGATGTATTCTCTGAAACTGTTCCGTGCGATTTACCGAAGGATAAAGGTATTCGACACGAGGTCGAGCTTAAACCAGGCTCGAAGTACTGTGTCATGAAGCAGTTACCACTTCCTCGTGAACAGTACTTGCGATCGACAAGTTCTTTGCCGATCGTTTAGCTGCGGGCCATGTGAGGGAATCAACTTCCCCACATAGCTCTCCGACCTTCTGTGTGCGAAAAGCAACAGGAGGGTGGCGGATAGTGCACGCGTTCAACAAATTGAACGCTGCAACGGTACCGGCTCAGACGCCGATACCGAGGAAGGACGTAATCATTGATGGTATGTCAAAGAGTACCATCTTTTCGTCCATCGATTTGATGGATGGCTTCTATTAAATCCTTATGCGAGAACGAGACATACCCTATACCGCAGTTAGCACGCCTAGCGGCATGCTCTGGGAATGGCTTGTAATGCCACAAGGGCTTAGTAATGCCCCTGCCACATTCAACAGATGTGTATCACATCTGTTGAGACCAGTACGAGAATTCGCGCCGAGTTATTTCGATGACGTATTCATCCATAGTCGAGCTATGGATGGAAATTCGGACGTTGAGGTTCACAGGTACCACGTCCGACAGGTTCTTACAATCATGCGAAAGCATCAATTGTATGCAAACCTCAAGAAGTGTATATTTGCAGCAAGCGAAATACCACTTCTTGGGTGCATCGTTGGTAAGAACGGTGCACGTCCTGATCCCGAAAAGATCAAGGCGATCACCGACTGGCCTGTGCGGTTGATGTCAAAGGTCTTCGAAAATTCCTTGGGCTAGCGGCGTATTTGCATAAGTACCCACGCAATTACGCCGAGATGACTGTGCACCTCTCTCGTTTGTTGAAAATGAACGAGAGGTGGTTATGGAACGATGAATGTCAGCGCTCCTTTGATGGTATCAAGCAGAGCTTGATACAATCCCCAGTCCTAGCAATTGACGATCGGGACAGGCCATTTCATGTGGTCTGTGATGCCAGCGATTTCGCAATCGGCTGTGCATTAATGCAGTACGATCTTGAAGGCGTTGAACGCGTCGTCTGCTATCAGTCGCGTCAGCTGCAACCAGCTGAGCGGAACTATCCAGTGCATGAAAAGGAACTTTTTGCCATGAAGTATGCACTCGCGAAGTTCAGAGTCTATCTATTACGAGATAGACCCTTCATTGTTTACACTGACCATGCGTCATTACGCACGGCAGTGAACAGCCCGCACCTTTCACAA